TTCTTATATTTATTCAACAATTAAACTTGATACCAATTCGCCTGCTTTTTTTTGAACTTGAAAAACTGGCGAATTATGTAAATGCTGGGAAAGGAGTGTTAAACATTAAAGATAAAACTGAAAGGCGACCAAATCATTGGAGTCATGGATGCGGGTGAGTTATGGCAGCTAAGTCAATGGGCCAGAGAAATGCGTGCAAGGCTGCAACATTTCACCAGGTAATTTATAACTATACTTTTTAATTAATTTGTACAGTAGCTGAACAATGGGAGTGGTTCGCCAATATATAAAAAATACAGCATGGTCATAATTTTCAGAAGAAATATGATATGAAAAAAACAGGATTGTTAATGGCAAACTTAAAACACTCTATAATTTTAAAGAGTTTTGGAAAGGTACATTACATTGTATATTTTATGATCTTTTTTATTCCAGAATTCTATATTACTTTTAATATAATAAGTAATAAATTAAAATGTTTTTTGACCTGAAGCAAAAAGCAATAATATATTTTTGAGATAGTGTAATTTGCACACTTAATCCGAGATCGCGTGGCTTTCCGAAATTGAAATGAAAATTTCGTTAATAATTATGTGGGATGAGCTGATCATATTTTGTGGTTAATTTCCTATCGATGGAAAGTGCAAAGGTGAAAGGCCGGACCACCGGTGAAAGGAATGGTAGATGGTAAATAGAGGAAACCAAATAGAACCAGTCCAAGCCCCCCGGCCGAAATCAATTTGAACATAATAAGATGGTCACCCTGGTAATTGTCCGTTAATGGCTTCATTACAAGCCGCAAGACAGCGAAAACGGTAGTTAAAGGTAAGTCTGAAAAATAGTATAAACAAAACAGCAAAGTTGAGACCTGACCTAAGGCAATATAATCAACCAAAAAGGCCCCCCTTGAAAATACCCTCCATCATTGTGAGTCACAAGCACGCGACTTGTGGTCGCAAAAACCTCTGAGAAATGAATAAGAGTACCATTGTCTCGGAAAAAGAGTGATATGGCTTGAAAAATATAAGAAAAAAGAGAAACAAGCAGTGCAGCCAGTCGATGCAAGCAGTTCGTCGCCAGCGATCAAATAAACAAACGCGCAGCCGCCAAACCACATTCAGTTTCAATTTGAACGCTGCGCATGCGCCGTGTATAAAAAATTCGCGCGCTCCGCCGTCTTCGCATCGCATTTTTATAACCGTTTTTCGGTTCGTTTGTTACAAATCATAAAAACCACAGCTTTGTTTTTCTTTTTACCCAAGCAAAAAACCCAGAGACAAATCGTTTAAATTATGAACTGTCAATATTAGTTATCATTATAAACCCGTTGGGTGTTTAATAAATATTTCGGCATGTGAAAGTTTGCTAAAAACCAGAAATTTCAATTCTTATACCAAATTTGCATATGGTGTAAAATGACAAAAAATAAATTGTGAAATTTATGAAAAGTGAAGTAGAACAAGTTGATAAAACCTTTAGTGTGACAAAACAAATGACCCACTCGAATGTATCTAGATCTGTGCCCTAATTTTTTGGAAAGAGTGAAAGAAAAAGAGCTCAGGCATTTATTGAAAAGGAAATGAACATAAGATCTGCATAGGCTGTAGAAAATATTGCACACTAAACAAAGAAATCTATGTTTATTGGGGTTTAGCTGAAATCTCCAAGATTTCACTCTAAAATAAAAGAAAACCTTTCCCAAGCACTTTCGTAGACAGGTTTCCCCAACCGCTAATGTCGTACAATAAAAATAAATAAAAATGTTTTCAAAACAAAAAGCATTCTTTTCTTTGTCACCGCTTTAAAGTAAACTAATTTATGCAGTCATAAGATAAAAAGACAACGCCCCTATCTTAGAACTTAATATTTGAAGATATTTTCTGTGCAAATGTCTTTTTTTTGACGTCCCTGTTAAATCAAGTCAATTAATTAAATGTTGTTTGGCGTCTGTGAAATACTTTCAGCTGTTTAACAAATATGCTTCACTAAGCAATAAACCAAACTGGAATACGAGACAGTAGTTAAATAATTGAAAGTGTGAACGAATCAGAGGAATAAAATGCGGATCCCCAAGGGAAGATTAACCGACTGGCTTCTGCCATTGGCATTTGGTAAGTGCAGATCTTTAAATTACCCGGTCTTACCACTAAGCTAACTTAGTTAGTTAGAATTGATCGAAACCAGTTTGTCGGTTCCATTTCGCTTTTTTTGTTGTAGATTGGGTGACTGAACGGGAGCAAGGTCGTTTGTGTCGCACTAAAAACAAAAATGTCGTTTTATGTTAGCCTGCCAAAAAAAATATTACAGCTTATGCAAGAACTCCCCCTCAAAATGCATTGGTCCAAAATGCATTGCTTTACGAAATGCCAACCATTGCGTTGCGGGGCTTTGACCATCAATTGCCGTTGACAATATGAAAATGAAGTTTAAATACCTTCGATGCGGCACCGTCCGAAATCCCAAATACGTGCGCAAAGTTGCGTTTTATGTATATTTGTGTATCGTAGCGAAAGTACGCGAAACGATGGATCCATCGCGGATTCATCCACGTCTGCCAGGCTCTGCGGATAATCCGCACAGTGGACCTATTCATTACATTCATTTTTATGACATTGCCAACATAAAACTTACTCGTTTGTAAATATGAATATAAATATATTTTTACAATGATTGGGAGCTTTGCTTCGCCAATTTAATGGCAATAAATAATAACAATTACAAGTTATAAATACGCCATTAAAAATTAAAATACATTAAAAACAAAACAATCTCTTTAATCTTAAATCCTTCCTTAAAGTAACTTACAAATTCAGTGGAATTTTCATTTTGTAATCCACTGGCTATAAAAACACATCCGATAGTAATAATACACACACTTGTGTCATGGTCAATTTAAACGCAATCCTTTTAAATTATCGATTTAAATCAATTAATAACGACATAACAATGGCAATACCACTGTTTGAACGATAGAGTAATCTATGGAAAGCCTTGTGTATTGATGGAATGGCATACAAATTATTATCGCCATCAACATTGACGGCATTCGTTGACGACGGTGCATTACAGCGCCAAGTGGACATCTAAACTGGACGCCAAAAACCTGGGGGAATGGGGGAAATGGTGTTGAGAGTACGGAACACGGGATTCATAGCGTCGCAGCCATGGGGCAAAGTTGAGGTAAACGTGCTCCACATCGAGTGCGCGGCATTTGCAGTGGAAAATGCAATTTCACATCGGGGTAGCAAGGAATGTGTGCATTTGTCTGGCACTGACTTCGTGGGAGATTGGGCAGATGTTTCGGCATTCGTCGAAATACTGCATCCATGTAAAAATGAAATACCTGGAGCGGGCAAAGTTCGTCCGAAATATTCCAAGCTACACAACACCGCAGAGGATGGGAAACAAATTTAACATCCCTAAAAGAAAACACATACTTCCCGGAGCAATTATGTTAATAACTTCCTAAATATGAGCAACTTGGCTTACCTAATGGCCAAAAACCAATTACAGTCATTCATTTAACACCCAAAAAAAAAAAAAACGAAATTCGGACCAAGTTCACTAATTGCCACCAACAGTTTGCATTTTACATAATTTGCAAGTTTTGTCAACTTTCTGCGGTGCTTAATAGTTGCAGACCCACAATTTGAAGGTCCATAAATTTGCTTTGGGGCGCAGACAACCAGCTGCGGATATATGTATGCTGCGAAAAACAAGATTTTTCACTTCCACATGGAGCAGAAAAACAACAGAAAAAAAAAAAACAAAAGAGTGGGAGTTTGGGGCGTGAAAAGAAAAAGTAAAATGTTGGCCGAAAAAAAGAAAATAAATGAAAAACCAAATGCACAGCGAGTTGGCGGACACTGTCTGTGTCAATGACTCTGAAATGATTTCAACGCGAATTTCTTGTTTCGCCGTTTACATTTCACTGATCACCGATTCACAACTTGCGGGTCAGCAGCGTACGTGGACTTTATTAGCAATTGGATAATTGACATAATAAGATGTTCAAATGGATAGAAAGCAGTCGGTGCTCCGTGCCGAGCCTGATCTGATCTGTTTGAGCCACTTTCGAGAGTCGAATGAAGCTACCTGAATGCTTAACCCACGGTAATTAAAACCAAGTGACATGAGAGTACACTAGGTACATAACAATAATCCTTCATGGAGAGGCATTTTTTTAAGTACCAACATAAAAAAATAAGAATTAAATATTTGTAATAAATGACAGCCTTTTTACAATTTAGTTTTTATTGCAAATAGCTTTTCTGAAAATATAGAAATCTCTAAATATTTTTTAACTGTACACCATAATTAGTCCAAACGATAAAAGATATTCCCATTCAATGTGTTTATCATTCTTTTTAATACCTATTCATAATATAATCCATTGGAACTCAAATATTTCTAAGAATATTTAGCAAGTCAGAGAGCTTTCGATTATCTTACATCTCAATAGGAGGCTATAAAAAATATCAGATCCGCGCTACGCTTCACAATAAGCTGGTTTTAACCCGCAATTCATTTTGTTCGCAATTAAAAAATATTAAACAGAATAAATTAATACAAAGACACTTTTCTTTAACACTCTTGTGGCCTTTTTATTGGTAAACAATTTAATTTGATAACCGAACACTATTTCAACAAAATGTAATTTTAAAATAATTGAAATAAAATAATTGGAGGTGACTAGATTTTGTATATTATAGATTTTCTGGAATTTTAAATTTTAAATCAGTTTTCTAATACAATTCGTACGTAAAATATATGTTTATCTATGTTTAATTTAAATCCGATTCGTACTCGATTCAGATGTTATTTTATAGAACATCTTATTTTTATAAAAGGCTCCCTTAACAAAATAATATTTGTTAGCCAATCCAATGGGGGTCAAAAGGCTCTAAGCAATACCGCTCTGGTTAAAATACCAATTGTTGTGATGTGAAATAGTATAAATATTCATGGCAGTGCTTTATAGAACCTCAGTTTCGATTCTATAATCAGCGAATGAGATGCACGGAAGCAGCAAGCTGACATTGACCTTGGCTTTGGCCTTCGTGCTAATTTACTTGGGATGCACCCAAGCCCAAGGACAGGGCGACCTCTTCCGGTGCAATGTGCAGTACAAGTGCTCGGATGAAAAAGAGTTGGTTTGGGCCATGGCCGACGAGCGTTGCCACGTGTTTCACAACAGGTGTCTGCTGAAGGTGGAGCAGTGTGCCCGAAAAAATAGTAATAAATCGGAGCTGATCGAAACCACCAAGGAAATCTGCAAACCCAGTTGTACAAAGGTCTGTCCGGATGTCTATGATCCTGTGTGTGCGCAAATCTTCCAGGAGGAGTATATAACCTTCAGCAATGAGTGTGAAATGCGCAACTATATTTGCACCAACGAGAGGCGTAAGTTAGAAATAAGGCATTACTAAAAGATTAATTAATAATTTGATTTTCTATTCTGATTTAGCCTACTCCTTTTTTGCGATCGGTGAATGTGTTGAGAAACCAGTTGGTTAGGATTAAAGATTCCTTTTTTTTAGTACATTTTAGTGGCTATATAATAACACACTGATGATGATTATAAAATGATTTTGAAATAAATATGATATTCGCAAATTGAAGAGTTATTAACGCTCAAAAGTGGTGAATTACTAAATGTGACTTAAATTGAAGTACATTTACTAAAGTATTTAAATATATTTAAGTAGATAGTTACACTTAAACATGTTTAAACACTTGAATTTTATATTATTTGTTAATTCTCATGAAAAACAATAAAGACAAACCACTTTGTTTGGTTTTAACGGACATAACACGTACTATTCGGTCCCTTAGCGAAATTTAACCCAATTATTTTGGAGCGCCTTGACCAAATACAGGATTTGCAACACAGCTACAAAACAGTAAAATAAAATAAATGAAAATAAAAGCAAAGATGTGTTGCAATCGTGTCTTTTAATGTTTTAAGCTGGCCCACAACAAGTTGCACAACTTTTACGCAGCCACTTTGGCCAGCGATTCAAGTTCAATGTTGTCTGGCTTTTCCACCGGCCACGCTCTTCCACCACTCGCTTCCTGATTGCCCGCGATTGATCGGATTTAATTAAGGAAAAATTTTGAATCGGTAATATGCAAAACGAAAAAAAAAACTCATTTGAGCAGCCAGCCACAAAGAAACTCCGCAACGCCAATGTCCTCGGGGCCATTTCGCAATTACGCGATGTCCAAGAGAGCTGGTTGCAACATTTTCCTCAGAGTCCCCATCGAAATCTGTCCAGGTTGCAGTTCCAGCCCACAGATTTGCTTTCATTTGAATTACCTAGGCTGCTTTTCATTATACCCTTGCTTGAAGAGGGTACTATTCCTTTTCTGGCAAACGAAGAATTTTAATATTTAAAATAAGTTATATAATGCTTTATGTAAATAGCTCTAAAAATAAGACAACGTTTTTATGAGCAAACACCGATTTATAAAAAATAGGGAAAGAGCCCTTTTTTAAATATCATTCAAAAACGACCCTTATTTACCTTAAGGACCTGCGTTTACAATTAAAATTAAATTCATTAAAAATAAATTAAAAGCTTAATCACAATAATAAAGCACCGACAAGAGTATTTGGAATTTTAATCCTCTTGTTTTCTTGTTTCCATTTTCATGCAGATTTGCATTTCTTGTAAAGTTTTTCGCTCTCAAAGTATCTCATCCACTTTTCACCCAATGCATTTGATTGTTTTATGGCCGTTGGCAAATTTACACAATCCCATGCCGAATAGTTATCAACTTGTCCGAGGAGCGAACTGCAAGTCAAGTGCCTTTCCACAGGCGGAAGACATGCATACTATTACTACAATGCTGAACAATGCAAATTTCCTACAGATGAAACAAGCTCAACGCCTTGTTCGACGCCTTCGATAATAACTTAATTGATTTATAGATTTCTCTCTCTATAGACAATATTTCGACGGTGCCGTTTTTGGGGCTTTGTCACTGTGCGGGGTTAAAAACCGGTGCCAAGGATGTGTTTTTAATTTAGCTTTGATATCTTTGGGTCATTAAGTTTTGATTGTCTCATCCCGACTAATGACAAAATTTGAAAGTCAAACAAACAGAGCATATTCAAAACTCATTTGTTTCGCTCTCTAATTAACAAACAAAGAAGTTCACGTGTTATATTTACGTTCACAGTTCACAATTCGCAAATGAAAATTGCATAAGAAAAACTAAAATAAAAAATTTCAGGGGAAATTTAGTCGCTTGGCTGACTCAAAAGTCAAAGAAAATTGGATTGTAACAAAAATGACGCACAACATTTTTGGGATAATGGAAAATTAGAAGTAATTTATATTCTGCAACCTATTTTTATAATATATCATTAAAGTTATGAAGTTTAATTAAATGAAATCGAATTATTATTAAAAGCCCCTGCCAAAAAATACATATTAATTTGTAGTCGTAAACATAATAATATGATTTTAGCTTAGCTGACGAAACCAGTTGAAAATCGATTAAGAAATTTATAACTGTTATTACAATAATAAAGTCGGCTTTATAACATAAAAACTCCTTTTATTTAACAAACCATTAACATTAAACACCTATAACTATTAAAACGTTCTAAAAGGAAGTTTTTGCAATTAAATCGATTTTGTAAGAAGTTTCCCCCACATTTCACTATTCTTGAAGCTATAAAATTCTAAATTTTAATTCTCTGACCAATTTATATAAACTTCTTTTTTTTTAATTTGTATCCCTGCAATGTGGCACATTGAATAATAACCAAAACATTAAATAGGCATACCTGCTGTGAATCCAAGTCCTAAATTACCTCACACGACCGTAAAAACTGGGCTAAAAGCAAAAGCCACAAAATAACAAGAAGCGAAAAAATTGCATGAGCAGATGCCTTGAATAAAGCCAGCATGGAGTAGAAAGAAAAAATCGTGGCTTAGGTGTAAACTGTGTGAATATTTTTCGGTTATTACACGCATTTTGTTATTATTATTTACCCCCTATCCCCTTTTTGTTGATTTTTTTGGCAACTACACGAAGCCTTTGGCCAAATAAAGTCTTAAATGAAAAATGTCAACACATGAGACGATGTTTTTCATGATTATTAAAACGAGCGAGTGAAGTGGAGTAGGTGGGGTGGTGGCTCAAGCTGATGTGTAATGCCAAACAAAACGCCGCATTTGGTAAGAGACATTCCATTGTTATTGCTAGTTGAAATTGTAACTGTAACTGAGCCCAGAGCCAACTCAGAAATTGCTGATATACTTAGTGCAACGATGACGGGCTCGTGCGTAACTTTAATGGGAAACCATGTTTTCTTTGGTAGGGCGAAGTAACTCATACTCTGAAAGATGATAAACAGAAGTATTATAAACTAATTCTTTGAGAGAAAAAGATTAATTCCGATAATACAACCTACCACCAATATATTTGAATTGAGAGAATATAAACTAATATGAATATATAAATAAGTTTATATATACCCTTTGATAGGGTATATATAATGAACCTACCCGGCGTCTTGAGACGCTTATATACATTTTTCATTCACCTGATGACAGATGACAGTTGACAGCATGACATAATTGGGCTTTGTTGTTAAAGTTTCGGTTCGGTTTAGTAAACTTGTGTACCACCCAGGCTCTTTTCGGGCCAAGAAGTGTTGGCACTTGGGCTTTAATTAGTGGTCTAATTACCAAGCAAGTGATATATGAACTAGTCGGCCGACTAGAGTGAAAGTTTCAACAGCTTCTGTAACGAATATTTGTTGGCCAAGTGGCGCGTGTTAAATTAAAGCAGCATGACTTTAAAATCCCACCACCTGCATAGATGAAATTACTTGGATTAAAGCCAAGACAAAGTCGGAGGGTTGACAAATATGGCTAAAAACCAACTGAACTCGTCGTCGACTCGATAGCCAAGTGCACTTGTTGCGTCCGATTGCACAAAATAGCAGCATAGCTGAAATCGTTCGACTTATTGCTTATAAATTATATACAATAAGCACATCATTCGGGATGCGACTTGGGGATGGAACAGGTTAATTGGTTAACTGGTGGAAAGTTGGTATTCCATTGATGTAATGACGGTAATCACAGGGAATTTAAGCAGGCTCAATCAAGTGAGGAATTTCCTTTCATTCCGCGGACTCTTCCTTGGTAAAGAGATAAGTAAATGTAGTTTTAAAAAGCCTAGATTTAAATTGTATGGGTTTACAAACAGCAGAATGTCTCATGGGGTTTAGTAATAGGTAATAAAAAAAAAACAACTTTCAAAACTAATCAGAGAAATAGACTATCCAGGATCAGATACTTAATTCTTCCCTGCTTTACAACCTCTTAATTAAAAACATAAACCTCGATCAGAGAAACCAACTTTAAAAGGTTGTATAATAAGCATGTTTAGATCAAGAAAACCCTCTTTTAAATTTAAGAAATGTATAAAGACATAAACATCAAATTTAATAAACCATAATTATCAATTCAAAATCTAAATAAGGTGTGTTTCGATCAGAAGTAAGTATGTCTTGATATTCAAGAAATAACTTTTATTATTCACAACTGACCAAAATTATACTCCTATCCTTATATGTCATATTCTTAATGAGACTAGATACTAAAATTGATCTCCAGGGGAGTAAACAAAACCACAGTAACCATAACTGAATACATTGAATCATCATATTACCAATACAAATTTAAAGACTTAGGGCCGCTTTCTCGAGTCCCTGTCAAAGTCCCTGATAGCTATCTGTTCGAAAAACTTAAAGACCAGATAAACTGTTCGTAAAAGCAAATCCGCTTTCTCGACTGCTTTAATTTATCTGAACGAGAAACAATTACAGAGTGCTGTTAACGCACTGTAAAGTGCAAAAAATGGCATGCTTCGATTATTTCATCAGCTGTTTGGGTATAATTCAAAGGAAAAGTCAACTGTGATTTCGTTTTTTCTTAATAGTTGGCTTTGGGAAATCAGCTGTCATTTTATCGAGTCGAAAACGCTTAACAGGGACTCCGAGTCCCTGTCAAAGTTAGCTCTCACATTTATGCTCGAGAAAGCCAAAATGCCTTAGCAGGGACATTATCTGTTCGAGAAATGTTAGCCGGAACTCGAGAAACCGGCCCTTAAACTGAGCAGGAAAATCAAATCAAGGTGTTGTGGCAATTTTCAATTACATTTTCCGTTGCATTGCACATGACGAATTGGACACGCCAACTGCTATACGGTAATATAGAGCAAAGTTGTTTCTGTAAAGAAATCCAATTTAGTTTCAGGATTGACTAATATTTCTTTTTCGATGTCAAATTGTCAGAAAATATAAACCGTGCCAAAGTAGAACAAATGTGATTCTTATCTAGTTTAACCCAATAGTTTCTGTGTTTCGAGTTGTATCTCTGATATTGATACCCACTTAAATAGTTGCTCGACTGACTCTTGGATTTATATGGTGGCAATTAATCTCGAATAGTCACTAATTTGTGGATGTTACTCATTTGTCAACGGCGTTA